CAGTGCATGAATTTCATGCACTGGGCCTCTAGTAATTAATATAAATCTGTGAGTCATAATATTATCAATCATGTATTTGGGGAATGTTGAGTAGTCAAGGGCTGTGATTACCAAATACTACCATTGTCATACACTTCTGCCAAATGTTACTGATACGTAAAACAATATATGACAGAACAAAGTAATTTTTTTCATAAATGTAATTAAATAAAAGGAATCCACATTTATAAAGTAATGGTGCCCAGCAAGTGTGCTCAGTGGTTGAGTGTCATACCATGAACTAAAAGGTCACTGGTTTGATTCCCAGTCAGGGTACATGTCCTAGTTGCTGGTTCAATCCCCAGTAGGGAGCGTGCAGGAGGCAGCCAATCAACAATGTTTCTCTCTCATTGATGGATCTCTCTATCCCTCTCCCTTTCTCTCTCTCTAAAAATCAATAACATATTTTAAAAAAAACACAATAATAGTGATATTAAGTGGTCACTTTGTGTTTTCTTAACTTGGAAAAATTAAAAAGTTTGAAAGTATTTTAAACACCTAGTTTAGAATATGTATTTGTGTAGAAATACAAAGGAATGGTAAGTCAGTGAAATTCATAATTCTGAAAATCTCCTGTTTAGTGTGGGAAATGGTAGAAGTGTTTGTAGATGGACCTAGCTTGTGAAGACGTTGGAATACTGCGCTAAGGAATAGGGTCTGTGTTGAATTGGCATTCAGATGCCATTGATAATTTTGGAGCACAAGAATGACATGATCATATCTGTTATAAAACAATGTAGAAAACTGTTTGTAGCCAGCTGAGATGGAGGTCCACTAGAAAAATATTGCAATAGTCCAGGTGCACAAAATGACAGTTTTACTAAGAAAGTGGCAGTGGAAATAAGGGGGGGGGGAGGGGGAGTCGTGCTAAGATTTGAAAATTCCTTCTGAAGAAGAATCTATAGACCTTAATGGAGAGGAGACACAAAATAATTCTGCAAATTATAATTTAACTAATTGGGAAAAGTCTCTTTTCCTTTGGAATGGAACAAGAGATTGATATTGATTTTGACTAATGCCAGTAATTGGAAAAGAGAATAAAAACTCATAGCAAAGCATGACTCAGTGGAAATTCTTATAAACTAGTTTTCTTTGTTGTTGTTTTTTTATCCTCACACTCTTTAGGATCCACTGGATTAGCATATCCTATCTAATAATAGACAAAGATTGAAATTGACCGTACCTTCGCTACACCTCCCAGTGGCTAATCAGCGAGACATGCAAATTAACCGCCAACAAAGATGGTGGTTAATTTGCATATGTAGGCGCGAAGCGGAGGAGCGAAGACTGAAGGCGGCTCCGGCCACCGGAACCGTGAGGGGCTTGAAGATGCCTCTGGCTGCTGGAGCAGCGAGAGGCTTGGAGGTGCCTCTGGCCAGAGCGAAGGCCTGGGTCCCGGGTGCCGGAGGAAAACCGGTGCTGGCAGCTAGGGGAAGGGAAGTCCTATTGCACGGATCTTTTCATGCAACAGGCCTCTAGTTATATAATAGAACACATAATTAGTTAATACTATGGTAACTCCAGAAGACATAATGATTGCATGAGAGTTGAGTTATTAAAAATGCGATTGAATTATGTAAAATGAATAATTTAAACAGGAATTTCTCCCCTTCCTTAAATAATATCCAATTCAACTTCCAGAACATGAGTATTTAATTTGATATCTCTTAGATTGCTAATATTCAGAAAACACTTAAATACTTGAATTGGTCCCACTGGGAGAAGTTCCACTGAGTTTTTTCATTTATATATTTTTCCACTGCATGGATACCTGTTTTGAAAAAAGTAATCTCTACATAAGAAACAATGATGACAGCTATACTGACATAAATTGAATAAATAATATATACTTTTGGGACTATATGTCAATGCACAGATTATATACCCTCCTCCGTGTATATGTGAATATGTGCATATTTGCATAGAAGTAAATGGGATGATATTCCTAAGAAGGTACTTGAACTAAATAATTGAACTACATTTATGTTTAAAATTTCATTTTTCTTTTGCAATTTTTTTCCTAATGTCCAAACCAGAAAGAAAAAAAAAAAGCAGGATCTCTCTTTTCTTTCAAATTAGAAGTTTGATTTCATGGAGGAGAGCTCTGAGCTCTGTAATAATGTCTAGATGCCTTTATTTTTATCCCACAGTTATCAGTATATTGCTATACAAGTACCTGCCAGCAAAAGCTTTTTTTCTGGTTCAATAACGTTTTAAATGTCTGTTGTTCCCATTTTCAAGTCTCCAAAACTTTTATGTGAATTCTTTCAGCACATTTTTTTCATTATGTCCCGACTTTCTTTTTTTTCTGGATGGCTAAAGTTTCCAGACATATAACCAGAAATGTCCTCAGAGAATTAATATATAAAAAACTAAAGCTAAGGACATGGAAAGCAAAGAAAAATATCATGTAAAATACATATATATACACGTAAATTCATTTTAAGTTTTCCTTTAAAAGGTAATACATGAACCTAATTTTCTTTATTAATATTCTCTTACTGAGTAGCAAATATTGTGGAAAGGTACCAAGAAATTTGTTTTTTTAATAACTCCCAGATCTAATCTTAGTTCTTAGATTGGGCTAGTCTGTTAATATCATTAATGTCAAGGACTGTTATTCCCAAAGATTTCTAGCATTTCAAAATAAACTGGCTGAAATAAGCCAAATAAGTGATTAAAACAAAATTCACAATATCACAGAGATTTTATTTGAATGTAAAAAATATTTTTGGTAATGTTTTTTATCAGTTACACATTTTAAGTATAAAGAAAGGCTTTAAGGGAATATTCCATCAAATTTGAGGGGCGCACTTCATTTAAGGGGAGAGAGGTGTTTGAAGCAAAAGTGCCAGAATCTAATATTTCTTTTCCCTTTATTGTTTTGAGTGGATGAATAACTTATAATTTTCTAACAGTTTGCATAACTTTGCTTAAACAGATCTAAATGGGTAAAAGCCCCTATTTCTTGTTATTTTAGAATAGGGCATGTCTTCACTTCCCTTAGTTTATATAATTTTAGTACGCATCTGCTTTATTGATGCTCTACAGAGAGGAGAAGATATATACATCGAGCAACATCTCTCTCTCTCAGTTACCAGGATGTTGGTAGTACCTGGATCCATTTGAAGACTTTTCAGTATTCCATGGCCCATTCAGCATGTTAGAAAATGCCAAGAGTTCAGAACAAGACAAAATTACTGAGGGAGCTGTAGTGATGAAAATAAAGGCAAGAATGAAAAAGAGTTAT